AGTAGTCCTGCGATGGCGGACCAGAAACAGTGAGTATTCTTCGCCTAGCTTTTTAGTAACCCTCACCTCCATATTTCCAGCCTATTTCGCTATTTGCAAAGTTCGTGCCAAATTCTCAGTTCGAACACTGAGCTGACTTTCATATCTCTCGCCATGCAGAAGTGGAGATTCACGACTTTCAGACACTTGCTAGAAATGCTTCGCATTTATACGTGGAGGTTGTCGTTGGAAGCACTTCTCGCAAATCACCCATCTACAAAGTCAATTCTCAATCGGTGATCGTCTGGTCTTTGATGCCCGACTGGTATGCTCCAGTTTAGCGTTCGACGTATTGCCTTCTGAGTATGCACATGGTTAGGATTGACCTCAGCACCTCGACGGTTGTTGAATTCAAACTTTTCAGGCCTAGCAGAGTGTCGCCGATGCCAGCAAAACTCTTAGGGCGTTCGAAGAAACATGTATCCGATGTAGTGGGTAACGACTGTACGTCATCCTTCGCCTTAGTCGTACACGCTCAAATCGTGCTCAGGTACGACGTTCTATCTTAGCAGCACATCAGGCGCCCAAGATACATGTTCGGTCAAGATCATCTGTTCCGACGACCTGAGAGGGCCTTCGCCTACCATCGGGACACTCTCCGAGTCGACTGAGCCCATGACATTAATGGTTGCTAAGGTAGGGGAGGTACGCATGCAGTTTGATTGATCTTTGGCATCCCTGTTGACGTCCATCGTGGACAGATGGGACATGCTACTCAAGCCGTAGATCGGAAACGGTCAGATCCTATAGAGAACTCTGAGATGATACCATTCGCTCACGTCTAGATCGACAGTTATATCCAAAGTTCGTGACAAGCCCGGAAGATGAATACTGCAAGTCTCATATGCTTTATCTAGAGTTGGAGGTTTCCGATCTTCAGACTTCAATCCGTAATCGTACCGGTATCTACCTGAAGGTTATCGGGAGAAACGTTGATCATAAAACGCCCGTATTCCAAATGTCATCTGAATCAACGCCTTCTTGGTCTATTAGCATTGACTTGTGAGGTCTAGCGTTCGTGTTAAACCTAATATTCTCTGATCTTAAATCACAGAGACGACTTCAAGGAATCAAGTCTGGTAAAATTCGAAATCTATGCTCATGGAAAGACATTCTTACGAAGAAAACCATTGGGATGTGTGGAACTCCCAAGATCAGATCTCCTTTCCAGCACCAGTACGTGATCATTTTTCTAGTATTAGCTGTGGTGTCCTTCAACGTTCCCTCAGAGACGGCAGCTTCCCTTATTAACAGCGAATCTCCTGCCGTAACGGTGTGCTCCATCAGAATATTTTGCTCTGGGGATTCTCGAGAGGTCGCGGGAGAGTTGGTGAAGGCGATCACCAAACCCGACGAGCACGCGAACGCAATTCTGACTGTGCTGGACTCTCTAGAGCCTTTGAAGGTGGTGATTGATATGCTAGCCGAGGTGTGCTTGCAGCATAACGATTACATCAATTCAATTGACACGCATATAGGTCCATCCTGCCGCCAAAATCGCCTTCAATATTGTGTCCATTGGATATAATGTGGGCGTCGCGCATGCTTTTCAAATGACAGTCTGTCTTGACTCGCCATTCAAATAACAGGTTTTGAAGAAGCGGAAGGAAGAAAACCAGCTTGTCCTCGACCTTTACACCACCATGCTGAACGCATATCGGGATGCTAGCGAGGATGAAATACTGCGAAAGCGAGACCGACTTTATACCGTTTATGAGTGCCTGTTTGAGCAAACCATCGAGTGTTCCTATTTCATTGAAGGCTACGCGAAAAAAGGTGTCATAGGTATGGTAAACGGAAATTATATCCGAGAATCTCAAGCTTGAACACCGGTTTATATAGGGAAATTACTCACTCCGAACCTGTCAGTCAAGGCCAAAGACTTTCAAGAGGGATTCGAGGGGCTACGCGAGAAGCTTCAATCTGGTATCGCCAAAGAGACGCTTATTGTGACGCTCGGAACTCAACAGTTGGTCGATGAGCTAAGTACGTTTTTTGAACATATGGATATACACCCGCACTCAAGGCTGTCTTTAGCTATGAGGGAATTACTCCGGGATCTTCGGCCACCCACTGAGCTCAGACCCAAATCTACATGCATGAAGGGTACACGCATCGAAACCATCAGTTACCTCATGTCCTGGATCGCGACATGTAGCGGAGACATGCTCTGGTGCAGTGGCTTGGCCGGGACGGGGAAGAGCTCCCTCGTGGGTACGCTCCATGAACTCCTCACCGTCCACGCCAGCAGGCGGAACCGTCTCGGTGCCTTCATTCGCTATGACCGTCTTGAATACTCCAACGCGTCGCACTTCATCACAAGCATCGCATATTCGCTGGGGACGTACGATACCCGGATCGGGACCGCTATTTCCTCGGTGATTCGCAGAAATAGAGCCGTTTTATCATTAGGGGCGTCTTCCGCTAGTGAGCATTTTCGCTTACTTCTTCGAGAGCCGTTGGAGAGCCTCCCCGACTTGGCCGACGAGGGACCTTTGGTTGTCATCATTGACGGTTTGGACGAAAGCGACGCGTCGAAGGAAGTGCTCTCTGTTTTATCCAGAGGATTCGGTCAGAACCTGCCTTTCATGCGACTCCTTGTATTCAGTCGTCCGATTGAAGGCATATCCCGGGCGTTTGCTGCGCCAAATTCGGCTGTAACCAGGTTCGCTTTGGACACTGCTTCGCGAGAAGTTAACGCCGATATCCGACATTTCATCCTAGCGGAATTTACCGCCATTCACAACGACCCCCTGACCCGCGATGAGGCCTTTGAAAAGACGTGTAGAGAAATGAATGTCATTGATCGACTGGCGAGGCGGGCCAGTGGACTGTTCATATGGGCCGCCACCGTCTGTCGATTCATTGCGGAATGTCCCAGCATATCGAGGCTAGAAGCGTTGCTGACAAGTGATGTCCCGAACGATGCTACAGACTCCCTGACGACTCTCTACAAGACGACTCTCGACACTATACTATCCGAGTCCAAACTTCCCGGGAGTGACGAAGACCTCGTAAAATGCATACTAGACGTCCTTGGTGCACTAATGGTCGCACGAATACCCCCCGGAATGACGCCAGAAGCTCTCAATATTGTACTCTCTCCGAAAGATCCCAATCCGCGCATCATCCTTGCGAAGCTCGGTAGTGTTTTACAGAGGAACGAAGAGAATGGTGGTTTTATCCAGCTCATACACAAATCGTTTGACGACTTCTTGACAAACCCTTTGCGATGCAAGGAAAGATGGTTTATCGACATCGAGGCCTACAGAAGAAAATTCGCCAGACAATGCCTTTTGTCGCTTACCGATTTCTTGGTATCCTGGATGCCAGATTCCGACATTTCCATTCCTCCTCATATTCGAGATTACGCTTTGGTTGGGCCACTGTGGCACATACAGTGTTTCGGTGTTCAGGATTTCGACGATTTACGCGTCCTTTTCGAAGACCAGCTGTCGAAGTGGCTTCAAGTTGCATCCATAGCTCGCAAAGGCGGCGATATTCTTAGGGAGATAAGCGAGGTTCTGTACTGGGTCGATGAAGTGAGTTGTATGCCATTTCTTATGTTCTATTTTTGGACTAATCGTTGCGAAGGTGGTAACAGATATGAATTGCAGATTTCGTCTACTCACGTATCACGCATTTCAGCACGCCGAATTGGAATTTAGACCTTTATTCCGTGCGTGGAAAGATCCCGACGGGCCACAGGATGCACCACCTATGAGACTCGGATCGACTAACGCAGAGGTCCGCTGGCATCAACACAAACCATATTCGTCCGCCTATTACGACTGGTCGTGTATCCACAGAATCTCAAATCCTTGCGAGCACACTCCATGCTAGGGACGATGCCATTATCATGCTTTGGAAACGTGAACCTGCGACCCTGCATAATAGTTTACCATACTCCGGCTATTCGAGCGAGGAGGAGCGGTATTCAGCGATCATGAGCATCGAGAATCATGGTAGGAAGTAGGACCAGCCTGAAATCATTAGAGCTCGCTTAGAAAATATAGAATTACATACAATTGAAAAAGTAGAACCGCAATCCGAATGGAGCTCATGTCAGACTTGTATGATTGGCCTACTCCCGCGATTCATCATGCCGACATCGAGTATCGCGAAAGTTCAACATCCAGCCAACGATCATTAGAAAGCCGTTACACACACGGCCGCCTCATGTTTACAGGTCCAGTTTGGCCTGTGTCAACGTTGCGCGACTGGCCGTGTGTGCGCGCGCGCATTTTGCGCTGTCATATCCTTGCATTGACACCTTTTTACCTTCCAAAATGAATGGTCAAGAAAGTGGCTCTAGTCAGATACGAGGGATCGAACCTCGAGCTGTCTAACACAGCATTATCAGCCTTTACGCCATATCCGGTTTGGGGTTCGGGACTGCTTTGTGCAGGATGTCGGGCGGTCAGGAAGGAGTGGACGTGCGCATATAGTCATCTCACTGTCAGACGACGTCGAGAGCTAGGGATGAAGCTTTCTGTGTCACAAGGAATATACTAGCCCTTCCTGCCACAGGACGACGGTTGACTCGAAACGAGCGGCCATCTTGCGCAGTGCTTTGAACGCATACAGTCACGTCTACTCCTCAGAGAGACGAGCCCTCTTCTTGGCTAACGCGGAGAGAGAAGGAGACGCCTCTGTTGGGCAAGAAAAGGTCCACTGCGCCTTGTCCTCTCTTGACTAGCTCATGTAAATTAACGAGATCATCATTCCCTCTCTAGGACAAGCTTAGATATGCTGCCCTCTGAGCCAGCTCGGATCCATATTATGCAGACCCAACTTATATCCCCTTCAACTGATCGCAGTACCAACTTGGCGCGTTCGATGACAAAACAAACTGTTCGTGCATGTTTCTGCGGGCGACCATCTATGTTGCCATTTTTTACGTGCTTGGATTGAACGCTCCGCCAAAGACCCAAAAGCGACGTTGACTTTGAATTTTCGCATTCAGATACAGGGAATTGAACCCTGAGTTCTTGCCGTACATATGGAGTGTGGCAATGTTATCCCTTCCACCATATCTGATATTGAGATGAGCGACCTATTTCATTCGTCGATGCATCCTGAGACGTAGCCCGGGACCCAACGAGACCGGGATTCTCAAGGGATGAGAGACCCGTCCGCTTAGCTTGGATGAAAAACAGTCCAAGGGACAACTCGTTGCTTGATCTTCGTTGCCAGATCAAGAAAAGTATTGGAACTCTGCATCAAATAATTACTCCTAGAGACATCCCTTGTTCACGAGATGAAAATGATCACGGACCTCATCATTTCGGATATAGGGAATCGAACCAGCGTTGCCACGACAGGCCTCTATACCATATCCGATTCCAAAAATAGTGCCAGGAAAGCAATTCGAGTACCGAGGGATGTGTCTATCCAAACAAGCACATTCCGGAAGAGGTACTTAGTAACCGGGGGGAATAAAAACAACACATTCATTTCCCTAAGCGGATAGAGGGACTCGAACCATGAGCTAACCGCGACGTTATCTCTCTTACACCTCTCGTTGATAGCGAAAAGGTGATACAAAGACGTTCTAAGAACCTCTTCGCATGCTCAAACACTGAGGATGACACTACGCCGCTGGAGGACTAAAGCCACGGAGAGGAATTAGGTGAGAAACCCTTCCGTAGGCCTGTTTCCTGGACTGAACTTCATGACCTGGTCCCGAGCGGTATCCTTATGAATTCACGGGTATCGTTGGCTTTTGCGAGGGTGTTGTGTAGTCGTCAAGCACTTGCCTCTCGGAGCTTCATGGGAGGACGGGACCCTTTCTTATTTCTCGCAGCACAGAAGAGAGAATAGTCAGAATTTTGCCCCCGACATTTTGGCGTGAAGGCGATATAATGCACCCACCAACCGAACTTGTTGTTCGAAGCAATACCCCGCGTAGGTGAGTCTGTCTTTCTTACTCGTTTCTGCAACTGACGGGACCAAAAGATGACCCCACGCGCCGTTCGTGGTCGACGCACAATAACACGTGGATGCAACGGGCTTTTTCGGGCTGAATCTCATTTCCGTTGTTGCTCTGTATGGTAACAGCCAGATCAATTGCGGCAGGTATTCGAGCCGTATAGTTCTCACTTTGTGATCATAAAAAACTGTCGGACCATATCTAAGCATTCCAGATACGAGGAATCGAACCTCGTACAGCTGGTTAACGCGGAGATGTTGGCCTTTAGGCCATATCCAGTGTTAGATAGGCGACCACATCTCATCTTCGAGTGGTCAGCGATGTGATCAACAGTGTTGATGATGTAACAATGAGCACACTGAACTGAACAAACGGAAGATGATGTTCGAGCCCAGGCGACCATTGACGTGTCCCGACTCTCCCCCCCCCTCCCAAGAACCAAAAAATTCAGCCCATCATTGCAAGTCATGCAAGTCAGACGCAGGGAATTGAACCCCGAGCTGCGGCAGCATACTATGAGGCGCGGCAGTGTTACCCTTTGCACCATATCGACGTCGGACGTTCGTCTCTGCGATGTATGTAACCTGGGCGCGCTGAAGGAGGAGAAAAATGATTGTGGATCTATATCGCATTTGATGTCGACGTTAGCATAGCCAGGGATGGATTATTGTCTGTGTTATAGCATGGACGGGATGTTGCTAGAACGATTTCAATTATGTGTGATCCGGGAAACATGAGTCGAGCAGCGCGTGTGAAAACGAGAAAGCGACTATTATAATTCAACTCAGAGATAATATTGTCCTCATGGAAGACGCTCGTTTCCGAGGATTCTTGAACTCTCAAAAAACATTCTTGGTCCTAATCAGCATTCGCAGGACAAACAACAAAGATTGGTCTAGTCACACCTTCATAGTTTATATCGACCGCTCAAACGAGGAGTCAATTAGACAAAAAAATCAACGTGTCCAGTCTCGACTTTGTGGTTCATAATGCTGATATCACATGCGTGGAGGCAGACACCCGCGGTGATGAAGAAAGTCTGTTCGGCGATAGTCGGACACCAGACTCTGAACTGGAAAGACGGAAATGATGTTCGAGGCAATGATGAGGACGCGCGGCTGGGCTAGGGTTAAGATATATGTTTCGACGTCACCCTCATAGATACAAAGACGTGTCGTTACGACATGGAACACGACCCTGAGAAGCAGAATGTTCACAGCGCCAGATCCGGAGGGTCTGCAGTGATTATAGCCGTGGACTTCTATGCTTCATATCTATCTTTGCGAAAGGAGAAGTTGAAATTTTGAACAGCATCGTGTACTGTCGGATGTCCACGTTTGAACAATGATAATGCAAGTAGAATTGATGTAGGGGACTGAAGTAGTGACAGTCGTAGGGTCGTAAAAGTACATGGATGTTACAGAAAGCGAATGGATAGCAGGATAGCAATCAAAGCAGAGCAGCGCGGATCTGTTCCAAGATCAGATGGAATCAACAAGGAACAAGGTAAGTGACGTACGTTACTAGTCATAATAGAACTGGGGCGTATTTTGATCATGGAATGGAAACACAGGTCGACGCGAAAAAATGGAGGAAAAGTCAGAACGGGTACAAACAGAAGATGCATGACGCCAGGCCAATGATGAAGTTCAGAGCAGCGTCGCGCTGGTAAGGCTGGACCGAACCACAATACTAAAGAGAGAAGGGGGAAGACGATGGGACAATATTGAGTGTACGTCGGGAATAGTGAGGAAGGAAGGGGAGGGGCAAGGGAAGGGGGAAAGATACTCACTCTAAAAGGGCCAAATGTCAATCGACGATATTATGAAAGCTAAATAGAATACAACGTACCTTCCACGGCGGCCATCACGACCCGAAGCATCGCAGTATCAGTTGCCGTCGTTATGCTAGGAGATTACGCATCAGCATTCCTCGATTGCGGCCAAGTACGATAAACTTACTGAATATATATCTCCCTCTCCTTCTGCCGACCAGCCTTAGTGGCCAGTTTCGAAAAACGACGCTTGAAATAATTTCGACCTGCACGGACGTCGCCTGGCTCACCATCAAAATCCTAAGAATTGATGAGGGGGGAATTGGCAGATGCACAGGAGAAAATCACGCACCGGGAAGAAGTTTTTGATATCCGAATGGGGTATCTTCTTTTCGAAGAGGTCGTTCTTGTTCAAAAATAAGATCTAGAGGGAACGCTACGTTAGATGTTCCCCAATTATCAGAGGCTCCGTACAATCGAAGTGTACTTGAACCACTGCGAGTGGCATATCGAGTCCCATATAGTCATCGCGTCTTGCATTTGATTCTATCAGATCGCATCAGGACAGTGATCCACCGAGATCACCGAGATAGCAATGCTAAATCACATACCGCATCCTTGTCTTCGACGAGACACTGGTCATATCCACTCAAGCTGACGAGAAACAGGATACTCGTCACGTCCTGGAAACAGTGTATCCATTTCCGCCGTTCAGACTTCTGGCCGCCCACGTCAACCATAGTAAGCTCGCGGTCCTGAAGATAGAAGGCAGTTTCCTTGATCCCGGTGGTCCGTACGCGGCATTGTATGATGTCCTGCTCAGTCGGCTGATAAGTAGGATCGAACAGGCGATCAAGATCCGAGAAGAAATACTCCAAGCTACACTCTGTAAGAACGACAAATAGAACAACAGGAGAAGAGGAGGACGTACTTTTCAGGCAATGCTGCTTCGTTCCCTCTCTGCCACGCTTTGCGAATCCCCGGATCCTGCCATAGCGCCTTGAGTGACTCAAAGTATTCTAACGGGAACGGCTCTCCATCATTCAAGTAGCGCGCATTGGCGATGACATCGGTATGTTCAATGTTGACCTCCGAAACCTTGAGGTCCATGTCTTCCATCGCAGCAAGGATGCACTTCAAGCCACCAGTCAGGTTGTCGAACGTGAACTGGCGGAATGACTCGATTTCTTGCGGAGAAAAGGGAATCTTATGGATGAGGCGCATTTGCTATCACAGAGGATGAAGGTCTTGTAGTACGATAAGGTGGATATGCACCTTTAGCACAGTCGACTTTCCAGAATCCCCAGATCCCAAAAGTAAGACCTGCCGGGGGTATATGAACACAAGAGATGCGAGAATACGATATGATATACATACCTTGACCTGGGTCGCCATTTTGGCCTTCGCCTGGAGATGGCGCAGGTTAGTGCTGCACGTATACTTATATGATCGCGAGCAAGGGCACCTCCTTGAGCTCCTTCTCAGCTCTCCTATGCAGAGCTTTCTCCACATCCGTGACCTCAAAGCCACCAGAGGACAAGCATGCACCCATTGCGTAGGCTTGAAGGGGTAACGCTGGCGAAAGACCCGGACTGGATGTAGCCTAGTTCCAATGAGCCCAGCTTCGCCAATTCGGCGCCAAGGCAGGAATAAGAGTGAGACGTAGCCAGAGAAAATGAAGTAAAGATATACAAGAAGAAAAGATCAGAAAGGAAATTGGAGAGTCGTGTTGGTGGTAATTGAATTCCAAGACATAGCTCGAAGCGTTGGGGTGAAATTTTCGATCAAATGACTTGATTGGATTGTTTTTGCATAAAAGACGTCCTATTTTGGTATATTCGCGTTAAAATTTTTGTCGGGTGATTAAGGGTCGGTTACTTATTGCAGGACAACCGCATCTTTTAATAAGCCGGTGGGTTGTTTTAGACTCTAAGCATGTCCATCGCGGGTTGCAAGTTACCTTTTTTTTTCAGGGCCACCGTTTGGCAGATACCAACTGAGGAGAATAATATTAAGATCCTCAGGAGATTTCGGATGCCACATCACAGAGAAGAGTCGCGCTGCTTTTTCCTTCCTATTGTAATTGACCTAAAGCATGGAAACTCCAGCGCGCCACAATGCTTAGTACACGATTCAGCCGTGTATCGCTTAATAAGAAGTAACTCCGAATCTCCGATCAACATGAGGTCGTACCACTCGCCACCATGATAAGAAAACAAACATCACACGCTATGCCTATTTCGCAATGTCCCATCTTCCTATTATCGTACGAATGCAATTGTGCTATTTCGGTAACTGCTCAATATCAACAAATGCGCTCGCCTGAATGCCGTA